TTCAGAAGACTCTTACATGAACTAATCTAAGTTTGTGGCATCTCTTTCTAAATAAAATGAATAATCAGTAGTTGTATCTTTCCTTTCCTGCATTTTGGGTCCAGTGTGTTTTTTTCCCTTAGGCTTATTCTACAGTTGGAAGATAATATTGGAGTTGTTTCAAAATATTAGAAATGAATAAAAGCCTGTCATATGAGACAAACATCTTTTACAAGTTGCCCTGGGCAATGCAGTTCACCCAGGCAAATTGCTACTTTGCCTGCTTATAACCAATCTTAATAGCCTGGAACAAATTATTCTCGTAATGAACGTCTAACCATAACAAAGATTTTTTTTTTAATTTTTGCTACCACTTTGAAAAATAAAATATTCTTTTTTTCACTTGTATTTTCTAAAATATTTGGATACTTTTGAGAATTTGTATACTGATGAGAGGAACGTGATATCTGTAAAATCTAGAGACTCTATCTGGTATCTCTGAAAATGATGACGAATAATCCAAGCAATGAAAAATTCAGATATACATTTGCTTTGCCACATAACTACTTCACTGCTGGTGGATACATGAAAGAGGAACCCATACTATTCTGGCTGATGCCCAGCTCCCCAGGAATTAGTGGGATGTAGTGCTGGACATGACGTTACCTTGAGTACATGACAGTCAGCCCCTAACCAGGCTCTGATTCACAAGCCTAGGAGGTACTCACTTTAAGTCCTTGGGTAAGATACGAACTTGTGGTAATTGGGCCATTTTTGTCGAATGTCTCCACTGTTTTTTTCTTTCCCAGTCTTGTTTTACTTTATTGGTGGTGTTGTTCAAAGAAAAAAAAAAAAAGGTAGACTGGGCAGCCAAAGCTGCCGATCATCTCGGGAGTATTTTAGTGTTTCAGTGTCCGAGTGTGTGTCTGACAGGGCCTAGGAGCAGCTACGTCAGAAAGGTACTTTTCTGTTTTTTTCCTTACAGAGTGGTAGGCAGAGTCTGGAGCTGGAGTTGACTGTCATGTCCAGTCTGTCTGCTTTTTAAAATTTTGTTTGTTTGTTTGAAACTGGAAGGGTAAGATGAACTGAAGTATAAGATGGGCTGTCTTTGATATAGCTAAGTTATGATACCACTTCTTTTCATTGTTAACGTGAATAATTTGTTATATGTTTGATTCCATCTAAAGATATATTACCTTATTGCACTCATGATTATATTAAAAATATGACTGTAGAACAAAACAAAAAATGGAGTCCATCTTTGCTTCATTCCGTTTTACTCAAACCTTATTAAAATTAACTAATTTCTGGCCAATGTTTTCTTGATTAGAGGTTCAAAATCATTAAAAGTGAATAGTAATATATATATCCATAAATTTAGTATACTTTTCTGATAAAAAATTACACATGCTGATATGTATTCGTCTCAGTATTAAAACATAAATAACGTGGTAAAACCAGAAGACTCAATTTAAAAATTGTTAGAAGTTTATTTTATAACCTAAATTAATTAAATTAATAATAATCAAAAGCAAAATATAATTATCAGATCTCATTCTCTTATTAATACCATGACCAGGCAACTCCAGCCATGTATGGTAATATAATCATGAAATTTATATATATGTAAAAGTAAATTTTCAGTAATTTAACTATTCTTATTCTGATTTCTCTTTTTGAGGCTAACTATAGTGATAGGAGACATTTGTTTGTACATAAGAAAATAATTTACTACCTATTTTAAAATAAAAACTGGACTGAAACTCCACATCTTAAGAAATGTGGATAATTGAAATTATTTTCCTACACCATTACTTTTTAAAATGGCAATATGGGTAAGATTTTAGAGCTTCATACACATGAAAAATGAAACTTTATATAAAGCTTGTTAAGAAATGGATCAGAATGTACATTAAATCATTTCTTCTAAAACCCACATAACCAACAAGAGTATGAAAATCTATAAAGGTGGTTTAAAACTAGAGAGATTTTTCTCCCTTCTAATGCTATTTTTATAAAGGTTATTCCATCATTAATATGTAAGTCTTACTTTGCCCTGCCACAGGTAGAACTTGAGTCTCCTGTCACTATACTTAAACACAGATGTCCTAAGAGACTACGTATTATCTGAAATTAGCCTCTGCTCTCCCAATGGTCATTCCTTGCTTACTAAAGCAATATGTAAATCTATAACTTAAGCTTTTATTACACGGTGATTCCATTCTGCCACTGTGACCGAAAGTATTTGACTGCTGATCAAATTCTCTGTATTCGTTTCACCTTTTCCCCCCAATCTCTGTTAGGTTCTGAGCTCATGCCCAAAGCGCTCTCCACCAGGATAGTGGGAGGCATTTGGTGGTTTTTCACACTTATCATCATTTCTTCGTATACTGCTAACTTAGCCGCCTTTCTGACAGTGGAGCGCATGGAATCCCCTATTGACTCTGCTGATGATTTAGCTAAACAAACCAAGATAGAGTATGGAGCAGTGGAGGATGGTGCAACCATGACTTTTTTCAAGGTAAGTCCTACTGGTTATCTAAAATTTATGTATTACAATGATAGAGTACAAGCAAACCTTTCTCTATTAATGAATGTAAGGGTGTAGCAACATTGATATTTGTGCAGACTAATCAATAGCACATACCTCAAAGGGTGGAGAGGTATACAAGTAAATACATGGCCATCAAGGCAAAACATTTTAATACTTGCAAATGGCAAGGAATTTTTGCTTTACAAGTATTCCATTTTTGTTCAGGGGAGAATTTGTTCAAAAACAACATTATGTTTCCCCAATAAGCTTATCTCTTTGAATGTAAATAAATGCAGTAATATGCTAATTAAAAATTGAATACTACTAGAATCAGACTCTATAAGGCGTGTGTATTCAGAAGACTAGAATGATTGTATGTTAGAATGTTTTCCATACAGACATTTCTTTCTGTTAAAATGAGACAAGGTTTACCTTTTCAGAGCCTTCAGAAAAAGAAGGGAAATAAGGCTGATAGAAACAAACAGAAACAGTTCCTGTTATCTGGACATTCATCCACCTGATATTCTGAGAAGCAGAGTCTCAAAATGGGCTACCCCACTGAACTTGCAATGGTATCCATAGGGACAGCCCTGCAAAACATTCAAATGGTAAAAGTTCCAAGCATATAGAGTGTCTTGCCCTCCTCTATATCATTCTACTCTTCTCGTTAGTTCAGCTGATCTCACTGGACCAGAGTAGACCCAATCGGGAGATTTCATTTTAGGGAGTCAGTATTTCATAATTTCTTTTCTATACTAAGTATTTTTATGTTGTTTATAGTTTGGGCAAATTTTTAAGCATTGGTATTTTCCTTCACTATTCACACAAATGAAATTGGCAGTTCAAGTGAGCAGTAGAAGTGGTAGATTTTTTTTTTCTTTTTAAAAAGTGATTGACTCAAGCTATAAAATAAATTCTTTCAACAACCATTCTGCAAGTGCCTATTGAGTACGAGAAATTGTCCCACACATTGGGTATTCTAGAGCAAATAGCATCTAGTTTTCATTTTTAAGAAGCTTATAGTCTCCCTGGGAGAATAAATCAACAATCATATGACTGGGTTTTTATATTATTTAAAATAATTTTGCCAAGCAATTATGTAATTTTCTTTGTAAAAATTTTTGCTAGGTTAAATCAGCTTTTTTTTAGGGTTCTGGAGGATATCAAATACCCAAAGAATGAGATACATTGATTACTTTAGTCAAATCTATATGATTCTTAAAATTTAATTATTTTCAAAGTGACTATTTTATATGGCTAGGTTAAAGATTGGATGTGTATTTTACATTTAATTGGAAAATCATTATTATTTAATCAAATTTATTGAATAATCAAATATGAGTGAAGCATTTTGATCAGGATGGTGCTATATGACTATATAAATTGCAACTGATTGATTTTCCTCAATTGATTATTTAATATTAATAGAGTATTTTTCATATAAAACTTTTTTTTTAATGAAAAGGAAATCAGCTATTGAAAATTCAAAAAGTACCTTGTCAGTGTCAGTAGCTTTGCAGTGAGTGAATATGTGATACATTTAAATGATTACAGTATTCAACTTCAGCTTGTACAATAACATAGATAAAGTACTAATGCAAGTGATTTGATACCAGAAGTAATTATTTCTGTTTCACCAATACTTCAGAGCTCTAATTTTATTTTTGTTTTCCAGAAGATTCAAATATCTTAAGTTTCAAAGTGCTTGTAAGCCAATTTTATCTCTGGAAAATCAATTTTTTTAATTTCTCTTTTTCCCCATCCTTAACTTTATTTTCTCCCTGTTTTGTCTTTTGAATCTTTCCAGTCTTCTGTTTTGCTGTTTTTTGTTTTGTTTTTTTTTAGTTCAGCTGCTCTCTGCAGTGTCATTTTTGCCTCACTTTTCTTCTTACTCTTTTATCTCTTGTTTTTCTCTCTCAAACATAGAGATGCCTCTATACCCAGTGAAAATTGACATGAAACAACTTTTGTGTTTCCAATAGCACAGACTTTCTTTCTGTAAAATTGAAGGCCTCTGGAATGTACCCTAGTCACAATAAAAACCGCACAGTGATAATCACTAAGATGACAATTATGTTGATAACTTTATCACATGCTGAATTCCTGCTGCTGAAATTTGAAAAAAAAAATTAGAATTTAGAAGAATACAGTAAATGTTGTTTTTCTTTAGTTATTTTAGCATTGCCCTAAATAATACTAATTTCAACCTCATTATTTTGGCTTGCTAGACTATACACTTGTATCAGCTTGTACCAAATTGGTACACTTGTACCAATTTCATTGGTATGAAATTAAAAAAAAAATTCCCTAGCCACCTGGAATTGAAGCAATTGCATGCTCATTTTGAAATTCTACAATGAATCAGAGACTATTGTGTGTAGTCTATTTATATCTGATACCATTCTTTTATTTCTTAATTAACAACAATGCATACAAACACTCTAGGAAGCACCCTTAAGGCATTGACTTCTAAAAGAATTTCCGTCTTTTTTATTTTTTTTTTTTTTACTACTTTAACAAGACCCTGCTGTTAGCTAATTGTTCTGGAACAGCTCAGTTCCAGAAAGTTATTTTAAAGAATGATAAAGTTGTGTCACTATAAGCAAGAGCTGGTTCAAGATACCTGGCCTTAAAAGGGATGAGTCCTCAGTATTGCAGAAACACAGACAGAGTTACTCAGCCATTCTACAACACTGAATAATTCCTTTTTCAAAGAACATGCTTAACTTTTTTCATTGACCTTACATGTATATTGTCTTCAAGAAGAGTTCTTTCTTCTTTTCTTCTATATCCATTATACCCTACACAGATTCTCTCCAGGGACAAGTGAGGGTAAAGCTATGACTGGTAAAATAACTCAATATTGAGAAGACGGTCTTTTTCAGTGTTATCCCATGTAAAGTAATAGAAAGCTATATGGCATCACCAATAGGTTCTTAATCATATTTAGATAATAAAATAGCTGAGGGCCCAGGAATTTTATGAAAAAACTGTAAAGTAGGAGTCAAAACATTCTTCTCGGAATCTGAGAACTTAGTGTGGCAAAAGTGAAATCTCACCTCAGGGCTGAACATTATATAGAATGTTACCAAGCAACAAACACATTCTTTTCTCCTTGAAGTATAAAGATTAGGAGAATGAATACATATAGATATATGCTCAAAAATAATTCAGCAATAGCCTGTAGGTGTTATAGTCTCTTTTGAGAATCCCTATATTTTCAAAGTGAATCATATGTTTTATGGAATGATGCTGAAATCACCTTGTTTCTATGCAACCCATGACTCAGTTTTTCCATTTTCTACAAATTCTCTCTCTGGGTTTGGTTTACCTGAAATCTCTGGCTTTGCTCCAGATCCAACATAGTCTGTCCTTCTGAAAGGTATCAAAGGAAATACATGTCCTCTTTTATGGTTATTTAAAAAATTCTACCAGATGATAAAAAGACATTTAAATGGTATCAAATTTCTAATGTAAATCACTTAATACTTCTGAACATATAATGTACAATTTAGAATAGTTGTTAAGAGTGGAAGAAACTGTGGAAACAGAGAAACCTGAGCTTAATTCTTGGCTCTGCCATCTATTGGCTAAATTTAGGTAAGACACTGCCCCTTGTAAACCTCTGACTCCTCATCTCTAAACTAGAATGACTGACAGAACCATTTTCACAGTATATTTTTTAATGTTAAATGAAAGCTCTATATGACATGCTAAGCACTTAATGAAATCTTGATAGACATCATACATTACCATTACTAGAATACATGGCTAATTAAAACAATGCAGGATTTAGAGTAATTTTAAACATAGTCAAATAAACTGTTTCTATGACCCACAATTGGATAAATAATTTTAAAGTAGATTTTAAAAGATCACACCATGTTTATCGTATTAAAATTGCTTCATTTTTCTGATTATTATTATCATGAAGAAGGAACAATTTGATAAGTGAAAATAAAAAACATCTATGGAGCAGTTTTCAGAAGCTATTTTCTAGACTGTGTATTTTGAAATAGTATATTGAGGTGCAATTACCAATTCTTTGGGGAACTGATGCCAAATATTTTTTATGCCTTTTTTTTCCCCTCCCCTTCTCTACCATCCTAATTGATTATTTTCTCTTTATTCCTTAGATATAAATTCAATTAATCCAGGCAAATTTTCCTGATCCTTTCCCCTACCCAAATCTACCCTGTCTGGGAAAGGTACTCCTTTTTCAAAAATTCTCTGAGCATGTTTTACCTCAGTTATCATTAAATTATCCTCCGGACTGTATTCCATTAGTCCCCTTGCCTCCACACTGCAGTGCAGAGCAGGGTGACATGGACTGAATTTATATCATTTATAACTGGCCTTCTAGTCCCCAGCACAGGCTTTGTGTGTGTTTTGGATTTTATTAGTTATCATTTGCACAATAATATGGCTTAGCAAATGACCAAATACTCTTAGTGGCATGTAACTTAAATCTTTATTGAGCTTACAAATCAGCTGTCCTACTCCTAGAAATCTGGAGGCCCAGAAGCTTTTCTACATTTGGAGCAGACTCCGTTTCTTTCACACCAGAGTGACACTACTCTCGCCAATACCACTTCTGCTCAGCTTTTGTGACCTTTAAATACATCCAGTCAAGTCCATTTGAGTACTACACCAACAGTTCTTAAAATGTGCCTCTGTCTAGACTTAATCATTGCTAATTTGGGCTAGAAGCTCTTTATTTAGAGGAGAAAATCTACAAGGCATTCCTTAACTTTTCTGGAGGTCTTAACAGAGGACCTCAAGACAACATGATTAATTAATTTTCAGTTAAGATCTGGAGTCATGTGGAAACAACTCTGAGGACTTTTACTGGCTTGGGACACTGAAAATTACAAACATTTTTATTACAATGCCATACAAATTCTAGCTTCTCTCTATCCCCTCTAAATTCTGCTTGCAAACTGCCCAGTTCTTTTTAAAATTATTTTCTTCTCTTTCTCTTTGTTGTT